CCCATGAGTTATAATAATTTGCTACAAGAAGGATGCTTTATCTAGGAGCGTGTAATCCCATGGCAATCCCCTGATAACTGCATTCAACGGTACCATATAAAATAGTGTTACAGACAAACAGACATACAAACATACAAACAAACGGACGTTTGCGGTTTATATATAGTAAGGATAGCTAAGCCGCCTATGCTTTCGAGTATTTTCCCGACATTACCTATCCGGATACGGTAAACAGTTCAATGTCGAGTAAGAAGTAAGTTAGTGTTGGTCCAGTTGAAAGAGTAAGTTTGGCCAAAAGTTGCGAAAAGCAAAAGGGTCCAGTAAAGTATGAAAAAAAAGTAGGATAACTAACATTTCTGAAGGATCTGCCTGTACCGCCGAAACATTCGTTCTTCGCCATTAATCACTATCAGTGGTATAAGGGAACACGGTAGAGAGCAGACAATATCAAACATCACAGAAAGAATCAGGCCCAAGAGGCTATCCGTGGCAAAACTAATTCCGATATAGATTACTATGGTAAACGAAAATAATGTCCCGAAGAGAAGAAAGATACGATTGATGAAGCGAGCTGTTCTTATATTTTCTCGAACCTGAAAGGTACCTTCCATTTATTGATAACTGTAAGCACTTTTATTATAGACACAAATTAATTGACGACTTTCTATGAGGAGTAATTGCTGTCTGTCCCACTTTACTGATCGGGGCTTTCCACTTGCATTCAGCACTCTCAGCACTAACGTGACCCTCGCTACGAGCAGGAGGGTCGCCCAATCGCTTTCTATTAACCTTTCCTTGTGGCCGAAGTTCCGAAAAGCCGCCGATGCTGTTTTTTTGGACCCACACACAATCACAGAGCTGCGGATGTCAGCGTCCAGCCTTCGGAAGCTTGGCTGGCTTTCCGGTGTTACCCATGAGTTATAATAATTTGCTACAAGAAGGATGCTTTATCTAGGAGCGTGTAATCCCATGGCAATCCCCTGATAACTGCATTCTTTCCAACATAGACCCACCTGATATGATTCGGAAAAGATCATGAGACCACGTCGTTTTTTCCAGTTGGAAAAATTGTATCGATGTACAAAATATATTATCTGAAACTTCATCTATCATCCGAAACCCAAAAATTTGTCAATGGTAAAAGTTTCGTCATGAAATGGCATTATTATGATTGTATGTTAACCATAATATATGGTACCATGGCTCATGAGGCGGAGGTGGTGTAGCGGCAAGTGCCGCCCTATTTCACGCATTGCCACAGGTTCAAATCTCGGCTCGATATACGCCTAGCCCGACAAGGCCTTCCTTCCCTCCAGGGTTGGTTAAGTGGTACCAGAGTGTCTGGGAGGATGAAAGCTCTGACTTGTACATTGGCTGGCCACCGTAAGTCGTAGTGTATAGGACATATGCATCCAATATGCCACTAGGATTCTGAATGGAAGTCGAATGTATGAGCACATTCCTCAGATGAGATTGATTAACGCCTCAAAAATTTATCCTTTAGGTCTTCAGGCCTATTATGCACATACTAATAAGTTACATATGATAGTCTGTCTGTCTATCTGTGTATTCGGCGTTGTATTTAAATGATAGAGAATGAAGTCATTGGTGTTGATCAATCCCGTCTGAGGCGTGCGCTCCCGCATTAGAATTTCATACAGGATCGTCGTGGTTTATTGAATGCATATGTGGCCTGTACTATAACTTACGGGGGCCATCCGATGTACAGGACAGTGTTTTCCTTCTCCCAGACGAGCCTGGCATCAACTAAACCACCCCGTAGGGATGGTAGGCTTAGTTGGCCTAGAATAATGTCGATCCGGGATCCTACCATGTATAGATAACAACTAATCATGATAATCATTCTATTTCATTACAAAAGCCAATACAAAAGCATTTCTCGGTGAAACTCACAAGTAAAGCGGTACTGATACAAATAATGTAGAACAACAGCATTATACCAGCACGAAGTTTCTTTTCCACTAAATTAAACAGATTCATGAAAATCTACGTCAAACAGTCGACAGTCGATATGCTAACGGAAGGTCGGTTACCATCAGTAGGGATTAGTGATACTTATTAATTACTTAGGTATTGGGTGCCGGCCAATAAAAAATCTAGAGGGGTCACTCGTTGATGCGGGGTCCTCTTACCCCGCTATCCTGTGGAAGTCGTGCTAGGGAAGGCTAATGAGGATGATAAATAAAAGTAATTGGTAATGATCGGTACTGATTACTACCGCTATCCTCCTAAGAAAACAGAAACATGAGAATGGGCGCTCTCTTTCGAAAATAATTCATGGACTCCACAGGAAGCACCATAGAAGAGTTGAGTAGAAAAACTTCTTGAGTGCATGGGTCAGTCCTACAGTAGCCTACAGTACTGGCTTGCAGTAAAAATAAGGTAAAAATCCATCAGAAGGAAGTAGTTTCAGAGCTCACCTTTGATACAAAATTGAATACTCGCAGAGGCATATGAAAGAAGCCACTGAAATTACGGTTTATTCACTTATCATAGTATATTTTTACTACGCATATGAACTATGAAAAACGTATAAAAATGGTACAGAATTAATAAAAATTAGATTTTCAAAGGTGCTCACTATGAATGCAATAATGCCACATATAATAAAAATTAGGGACTGTCTCTCGTAGGTTGTGGATTTTACAGTAGCCAATAGACGCTCAAACGACAGCAATACCATATGGTAGCAAACTGAAAGTCAAGGGTCATCAGAAAGCTTTTTGAAGTTGATTGATTAGTTTGAGGAGATCAGAACTATGTCTGTTTCCATGTCCCCGCTGATTCTTCGGTTCCACTTTGAAAGACATGGAAATTTTAAACGCTCCAAAGTTCTGAGGACCCGACATTGCGCTATCCGAATATGACCATTATACATAGGTCCTATCCGGATAACTGAGTTCTGTCATCAAAGTCTCGCTTCCCGATGATTCCTTCAGAGTTCATCGTCTCAAGGGTTCGAAAGCCCAGTCAATATTGTCAACAACCGACAGCTGTAGTCAAAATGAGTGTTCGGACTACCAAAAACGGAGCGTTTTTCTTTTCCCTCTACAGGTGGGGTTAGGAATCAAGAAACTAACCGGATGGCATACAAATCCGCCATAAGAAGATAAGCACATCAATATCATGCTGAGACCATCCAGTGTGAATTATCTTCGAGATAGATATGGAAACTGAAAAAAGAACATTTTGGAGTCGGAATAAACCAGCACTGATCAGACATTTGAACTGTTCTCTCTATGATTTTTTCCGGGTGATTTGCGAAAAATGGGAAATTGGGGACGGGGAAATACCCTGTGTGGGTATGTAGGCGTTACCACATACTCACGCACTTGCATACAGTAAGAATTCTACCTTATCTTGATGGTAAATGGATTTTTGAGCAAGTGTGAGATATTTACTTCTTGTTTGGTGTTATACATACTTGATTATCTCTAATATTTACTTGTTGTTTATTGCTGTTTTTGATTGTTTTTTTTTAGAATAAGATTCTATGGAAAGAACCAACCTTTACAGATCGCCGTCAGGCATAACGACAGTGTTAGACTTCCGAGGACAACTCGCAAATTCACATGGAGTGTCGTTGAGAAACACAGTGCACAAAGGAATGTAAACGAAATAAATAAGCCAACAATGTAGATGAAAATTTCTATACTACTACTAGCAGTAGTGATTGCTAGTCGAACATCTTCAGAAACGTTCACAAATGACAGTTCTTCTCTTAACGACATTCTGAAATTATTAAGCTTAATTTAATATATTTGACAAAACAAAAAGGCTGTTCGATTAAATAGCTCCTCATGAATTGTGAAATTCTTAGGAAGGGGTTCTTAAGAAGTATTCTAACGGGGCCACTTATTGGCTGAGAATAAACAAACGTCGAAATGCTCTAAGTATTTATTAGAGGAATCAGAAACATGCAGTTAGATTCGCCTTAGCAAAACAAAAGCAAGAAGACTATAGAAATTAAAAGTGAGATCAGGCTCAAAAAACGTCACAATCCCTCTTGCTGCTCACTATTTGCAGGATATGCCAAGCTTAGGTAGAAAACATCAAGATGTGGTAACTATATAGGAAGTCTAATACAGTCAACGTTACGGTAAAGGTAAGCAAGGGCATATATGGAAGCGAAAAGCAAATATGAGATTGTTGGGGCTATAAGTTCAGATGTTCTTTATCTCACTTAGAAGGGTGCTTTATTGATAAGAGGAAAGACTCCAAAGCTTAATTTTGCACTATAATTTTATTTATCAGTTGGGCAACTTTTCATATGGTTGTGTCTGAAGCCAATTAGGGACACCTACTTTGAGTACAACAATCTTATATAACCGGGAGAATAGATGGGAGCAAAAAGGTTATGTTATAATTAGTCTCCAAAACACGATTGCAACTGCAGCCTTCAGAGATATCATCAACTGTGACTGAGAAATAAGCATACAGAAAAGCAAAATACCATTGAATTCAACTTCCTGCTTCCGATAACACCCAACAAAGCAATTCTATTGCTGTATGCTCATCTAGGAATGTAAAGAATGAGAAGGAAGGCGTTCTCGTTCTCGTTGCGCACTTATGTGGCCTATCCTGAACTGCGGTAGCAGACGGATGTGGAAGCCATTGTTTCAGACCTTCCAGACGAATCTGGTACGAATCAACCGACCTCGGAGGGATAGATGGCTCGGTTAATCTGTGCGGTGACTGAATCGGCATTCGATCTCTTGCCTATTCACGTGGTGGTGCGTCACCTGGCCCCATACCTCCCCTGACTTGGAAAATAAGGTACACTAAAGGGACGGAGAAACTTTTAGATGGACTACCCAGGAGTGAGGAAAGCATGACTATATTGCAGTGGTTAAAGACCATAGTAAAGGAAAGCCTGGCTTGAGTAAGTAAATTCAATAGGTACGATTCACGGAGCTTGTTAATTTACTTTTGCATGATCGGATGAGCCGAACTCTTTTCGAAAACAAAGTCTGAGTTATCAACGACGAATGTTTGTCCCTCTAAAGGTCTTTTTCTCAAAAAAAATAATAAGGGCATAGTCTCGGTGTTGCTGTGACTTAGCCACAGATGTATGAGAATAATCAGTTTTTGCAGTAAGCTACAGTACCCAAGAGAATATCGTCAAGTCAGTGAGCTCTGCAAACGGTAGTATTGACATAGTAATGAACAAGAAATTTAGCTAAGTCATACATACTGTTATTATCGTTTGATGTGATGTGATGTTGATTGTTTTTGACAAGCAATACACTAATTACCTTCCACTGGCTTAATCACCGCATGAACAGCAGTTTTGCAGGATCTTCCGATGAAAAACATATTTCCAAAAAAATAACGAAAGAAAAACAAATTCATCATTACCGTAGTCATAGCTTAATACCATAATTCAAATTTGAAGTTGAAAGACCACAAGTATTGAATTCCACGAACTCCACATTTGATAATCTGACTCGTTGGGTAGAGCTCTTCTCTGTGATCCCTTGGAGTGAACAGAATGTTTGTCAAGAAAAGGCCAAGGATTGTAAGCTATCAAAGCTCCCCTGGAATCATTAAAACAGTATTAGCTCTCCCTGAAGTCATTAAAACAGTTGTAGCTCCCCCCCCCCCTTCCCCTCCCCTTTCCCCTCAATTTTTGCGGTATTGGAATACTTGCTAAACCGGATGCGTAAACTTTGGAGTAATCAGATGAAAACACTGATGGAGGAGTAAACGAAACGCCTCTAGCTTCTAGAAAGGCCAAGTCTCGCTTAGTCAGAGATATGGAGGATAGCCACCATTAATGATCAACAGCTAAATTCGTTTTCTTAAATTAAGTCAGATGTCGTACCTGCAGGCACAAATGTTCTGCGAAGAATTCACTCCAACTGACTTTATCAGGATTATGTTTCAAACAAAAGGTTTAAATCCATTTTTAAGTCACTACTACAGTGACTTTACTTGCTCTGGATGTGAGTTATTGCTTGAATTTTGCTCTCTTTTTGTTTTAATCTCTTTAGAGTAGTTTTTATCTATTTGATTCGGTCATCCGAGAGTGTTCAGGTATCCCCCTCTCTCGCACCTATGCTGTCAGATGCATTCTCACTCGGATATGACGCTGACACCTTGCGGAGTGGATATGAACGTATTTTGCAGGGGTCTTAAAAAGCAGTAGAAAAGTGTTACCACAATCACAACATCGACTCAGCGTGACACCTTAGGAATGAGTGAATTTTTAATTCGATTAGTCGTCGATTTCTCTCTGTTAGCTTCTTCGTCAGTTCCACTGCTAAGAAAGAAGTATCAAGATGTATGGGTTGACCGACATGACGAAGGAATGAGCGACCAGACAGCTGTATTGTATAGACCGTACGGTACCAGGCACGTCTGGGAGGATTAAAGCACTGGCTTGTGCATTGGCTGGCTGCCTCATATCATCAAGTAACTCACTTATCCAGAACCCCGTTGCAATTCTGTACAGGAGTTGAATGCGGGAGCATCTCACGAAAGAGATTGCTCAGTGTCAATAGATTTGATATTCTTCCTTAATCCTTTTCAGTGATCCAAGTTCGAAACTAACCACGGAAATAGAGTGTACTACAGTAAGATACGTTCACCAAAATGCAATTTATCAACTGAACACATTTGACCGTCAATCCGCAAAATGATGGATCTAGCGGCTGCACTGTTTTGATTGTTCCAAACCGCAAGGTTTTTACCTTTTCTAATGCATACAATGAGTTGCAGAGATGTAGAATTCTGTGGTTTTCAACTTGGTGTTTTGTAAACTGCTGTTATTACGTACGCGTTCCAAAGTCCCACAAGGTCGGCAATTTGTGGACAGAACTACAGTCTCAAACAGGACTCAAACCCGTACTTGTGCTTTCCGGGCACCGTGCCCTATCCCTTACACTACCGAGACCCCACTTGTCCTCGCCTTCCTGGTAATGGGAGACTGACACTTATGGACCTACTGATGGTAAGCCCACACTGGCTCTGGACTGTGACATCACCTCTAGGACATATGTGTGGTAAGCGCGTGAATGTCGAGTCGATAATGCCAGGTTTTCAGTGCCATTAGCTGCTGTAGGGTCCACGAGCAAACGCCCAGCATGGGTGTTTAAAGGCACAGGTCAGGAAAAGGTGGTTCCGGAGATTTGCATATAGTTTGAATTCGAAGCCCCCTCTGATACCATTTGTGCAGGAATGAGGTCGAAAATCGTTAGAATAGGGCACAATTAGGGCAGGAACATTGGGGGACGTCAGGGCTCCGCCCCTCGCTAGGCTGACTACGCGTTCGAATTTTCTTTCACCACTTTCGCATTGGAGCGAAGTTGGTGGAAAATCGATACGCTGATTGGCAAATTGCCAGGAATTGTCAGCTGGTCGACCGCCTCCTTCTGGTACTAATATTCGGCTGCATTTCAACTGATTGGCTTCAACTGAGCATAAATCTTCAAATAAAAGTCAAAGAGCGTTCTTGACACTGTACAAGAACACATAAATGACCCCAAATGAAGAAAATGCCTTGCAAATAAAAAAAATTGAAATCCTAGCATGCACTTTATAAAACAACGTACTATATGAAAACTTAGGTACATTTAATCGTAAAATGATCAATATAAGCGAATTTACTCACCTTTCTGTGCAGAACAACTGAATAAACATAAAAGTTCAGCGAAATATCAGTAGGGGAATAAATAGTTTCAAGTATGTAGTCTAAATCAGCTGTTTGGGTGTTTTGTGTGCCATTGCACACATGGCGTCAAATTCCTGTACTTCCGCAAAATTTCACTTAACCACCGTTTCCCCGTTATGAAACTCGTCCTACCACTCTTTCCTCTTTTTTTTCGGCCGTTTGTTTTCCTTTTTCTTGCTGTTTTTAGCGTTTTAGGCTTTACCATTGTCCTAGTATAGGCCTTACCTACCACTATCTCTGAAATACCGGATACCCCCAAAATTGTCCTGACCTGTGCCTTTAAGACAGCAGCATTAACAGCAATTAGTCATTACCCCCTATTAACGAAGGCTCTTCTTCAAGAAAGAATTTGGTCCCTCCGGTCCTATGCATTCCAAAGAGGAGAGGAAGCTTCCGCTACGGTGCAGACAGCGCTCAGGTTCAGTCTTTGCACCCGGCGTGCAAGAATCGGTAAGCGCGACGTGTGATTCTCTGGAAACGAATCAGCCATCCATCAACGGGCGAACACCCGTGCACTAGCTATATATTAGTGATGACAGTTCCCGTATTTTGCTACTAAAAAAGGAGGACTGAATTTATGTGAGAAGTGAAAAAAAGGGGAAAGAAATGAAACTGCACTACGGTATCATACTAGAATTTTAGACCGTAAATAGACTTAACAAGTCTCTAGATTGTATTACCCTATAGCGGCTTTCAGAACTTGCGAGATTGTTTAGTGTTCAATAAAATGTCCGTATACGAACTTTTACGCTAGAGGATGAGGTTTCCCTTAAGTCAAAGCTTTTAATGTCTTAAAGTCAAGCTCTCTGTGAAAGTTTGTGAGCAGAAACTTCTCTTTTTAAACCTTCTTTCAGCTTCCAAGCTAATTATTAGCTGGCTTTTCGATGCCGGAGTCTATGCGGAGTGGACACTGCAGACATATAAGTTCCAATCCATCGTGAACAGCGACGACACTATAACACACACAAAGCACCTTTTCGCCCACTTCCCGTGACATTCTAACCTTTGAAGAAGGTGAATTGACTGGTGGCTAGTAAATCTTATACCTGTCACGCCGAG